GAGATTTAAGCAATTAAATGCGTGTTTATTGGTTGGAGAGAGAAGGAGATTTCAAAGTGACAAAATAAATCTCGTAGTTGTGAAAAAAAAAAACCCAACACCAAGTCCATTTTGATTAAACTCTTTTTTGATCGTATAAATGATAATATTTGTTATATTGTGTCTATGTATGTAAATTTTCCATTTTGAAATACCAAGGCCAAGTTCATAACAAACCCATATAGTTGCACGGTAACATATAGTGGATCAAACAGGCCCATTCATTTAAGACTCTTGTAATTCTATCGAGTTGCGTTGCCAAATCTATAAACAACAATCTATAGTAATATAAAAAGGTTGTTGGAAAAATACTTTTATAGTAAGTTTGACTAAAAAAATAAATAGTTTGACTTACTATTAATGGAAATTTCGAAAAAAACACATGTACCGAAAAAATTGAGATTTTTATGGTAACAAATTTGGAGATTTTAATGGTAACAAATTTAATTGAGATATCCCAAAAAAATTGGAGATTTTTATGGTAACAAATTTGGAGATTCCTATACCAAAATCTAATTCATTTTAAATATTAATTCATAGGAATCTACTTTTATTGGTAACAAATTTAAAGATTGTTATGCCAAAAAATTGAGATTTTGAATTTAGATATTCCAACAATTACGGATTTTTTCCTATTCAAATTAATGTTGTAAATCAAACAAAAATTTATTCCAAAAATAATGGATGTTATACCAACTATTGATAAACTCCTATCTCATAGGAGATTTCTATGGGATTCTTATGGTAACAAATTGAGATTCTTATGCCAAAAATTTGAGATTTTGAATTGAGATATCCTAACAATTTCGGATTTTTTCCCCTTCAAATTCATGATGTAAATCAAACAAAAAATTATTCCGAGAATAATGGATTCTATACTAAATATGGATAAACTCCAATCCATAAGAGATTTTTATGGGTTTCTTATGGTAACAAATTTGGAGATTCTTATACCAAAATTTAATACATTTAAATATTAATCCCATAGGAATCTATTTTTATTGGTAACAAATTTAAAAATTCTTATGCTAAAAAATTGAGATTTTGAATTGAGATATCTCAACAATTACGGATTTTTTTCCATTCAAATTAATGTTGTAAATCAAACAAATAATTATTCTGAGATAATGGATGCTATACTAAATTAATATCACTGGGCCCACACGTTAATATGATATTAATTAGATAGATAAATTATGTAAATCTTTCCTAACAAAATGCGTTCCAATATTGTTAACCAATTTAATGGGATTTTCTTAACTAATTTGATAGAATTTTGGTAACCACGGGATTTTGTTAGCTTTTCGTGGAAACACGAATCTTCATTATTGATAAGGTTTGATAAGATTTTGTTTCCAATTTTTTTTGTTTTTTTTCCTCTCTCGAAAATTTGATAAGGTTTGATAAGATTTTGTTTCCTTTTTTTTCTCTCTCTCGAAAATTTGAGTCGTGGATTTGAAAAAAAATAAATAAATAAAATAAACATATCATATTGATAAAGTTTTAGTGTGGGCATAAAAATCAATTTTGATTTGATTGAACTTTGTTTCATATAAACCTAAGAGAATCAGACGTTTGAAAAAATAAAATATTAATAGTAAATAATCATACCATATTTGTAAGGTTTGATTTGGAATATTGCGGCATAAAAATCAATTATGATTTGATCACATTTTGTTTTATAGAAGTTATCTTAGAAAATTTTACACGTTTCAAAAAATTAAAGATTATAATTTTGTAAATTAAAGTTTTGGATTTGTCCAAATAAATAGATCAAAATAAAAATATTATTTTTCAATCTATCCAAAAAGTCTTACCAAATTTCATTGTAAGAAACTCCATTATTTTTGGCTACATAATCTTCTAAATATTCGTTCGTCCCTCACAAGTGAATCACGTTCCACATTTTTTTTATTTTTTTATGAATTACTGGCATAATTCGACCTGTCAATATCCAAAAAATCATCGGTGATATCGAAGAAGGTGGCGCTTATATCTTGACAAACTATCAAGTGAATAGCAATACTGGCATCCATAAATCGACGATAGGTAAAAGGAGGATCATTATCAATGGTCAATCATAATCATACTTTTTTTATTTTTTTAACAAAACCGATAACACATATTTTTAGAAGTCAATCATAATCATAATAAAAAAAATCGGATCGGATCATATTAAGTACCTTACGTAAATATTTTTTTTATTTCCTAGACATATGGCACATACACATGACTATATAAACATCACCAACGTTGAACAAAAAGTATTCGACATCCAATATATCCCACAAAATAATTTTTTCTACAAGCTTTTACATCACCATTGAAAATGGCTTCGGATTTTGGAGTAATCAAGGATATCAGAAGATCCAATAAGCCACCAATCAAGCTACGCATAATTAGGATGTTCCAACGAGTTGAAGACGTACACAATTACCGAAATGTTCTTGAGATTATCTTTTATGATTTTGAGGTAATATATTCATTTAGTATTATTTAAATGCATCATTTTATGCAACATCTTTTATAATTTATTTATTGAAGTATTCATTATGCAATGTTTTAGGGAGGATGAATTACTGGCATAATTCGACCTGTCAATATCCAAAAAATCATCGGTGATATCGAAAAAGGTGGCGCTTATATCTTGACAAACTATCAAGTGAATAGCAATACTGACATCCATAAATCGACGATAGGTAAAAGAAGGATCATTATCAATGGTCAAACCAAGATTATCAAATGGAGGGGTGATTTATTAAATGGAGGGGTGATTTCTCTATTTCTAACTTTAATGGATGTTCGTAACATTGATGAAGTCATGTTGTTTGGTACGTTATAAATTTTTTGTTTATTTCTTATTTCGATTTTTTTAATTTAAATCTGTAATAAACTATTTTATATGTTATACATTTCAATATGATGCATTTTCTTATATTTTTGTAAATGTTATTGGATTAATTGTTTCCCATATGTTTTCTTACAACATGACTATAAACAAGAGTCAGGAACAATCATTATCGCATGTCAGCTTCTTTCTTAAGAAACCAGTGTTTAGTTATGGTCAATTGTATGTTGCTGTCTCCCGTGTCACAAACAGAAATGGGTTTGAAAGTCCTAATTTGCGGCGACGATGACGTGCCAACGAATCAGACCATGAACGTTGTATATAAGGAAGTGTTCAATAATATATAGATTTTATTATCATTGTATTTATTAATTTATTTATTATTAATGGCATGATCTTTCCTTTAGTAAGTACTTTGAATTTTAACTGAACATTGCTTTATAAAAGGGACGAAAATAATAAATCCCCGTGCATCGCACGGGACTGGACTAGTTTGAAATAAATTTTTAGATTCAAATAGTTCATTTCGAAAAAGCTCAATATCGTAGACAAAGGATTATAGATTTAGTTATTTCTACATACAAAATAATTAATTATTTATCAATCATTAACTATAATAATCTAATTCAACGAGGTAGTCAAATTCACTAATTTAATCAGTTATCAATTATTCGCTATCTATAATATATCAATTAAAAACTACTTAATGAGATAAAAAAAAAGAGATAATAAGAAATAAATTTTGCTATAGAATTTTTTACAGGTGTAACTTACATAAACATCTTAAAATGTGGATTTATAATTTGTTATTATTTATAATAATTATTATAAGATAAAATTGTTAAAAGAATATTATTATACTTAATTATTGTGAAATGTAATAGTTACTCTTCATAGTTACATAAAAAATGAGCGGAAAATTTTGATTATAACATTAATTGAACTGCCCCTACCTATATAGATTATCGGGGGTGTATTCAATTGAGATTTTAATTGACATTTTAAAAGTTTTTGGGATGTATTCAATTGAAATTTTAAGTGACATTTTAAAACTTCTTAAGATTCGGGACTTTTTAAGATTTTTAGATTTTGGAGGAATCTATAAAATTTTAAGTCTGGACGTGAAGTGAGAATTCGTATAAAATTTTTTATTTAGAAATCCCACCAAATCTTAAAAAGTATTAACAAATCCTAGCGTTAAATAAATTAAATACATCAAGATTTTGTAAGACTTTTTAAAATCCCAATTGAATACCTTAGGATTTTTAAAAGTTTTAACAAATCTAAATTGAATACACAAGAATTTCTAAAGTCTTAAAAAGTCTTAGAAATCCTAATTAAATACACCCACCTAAGATTTGAGACATTTTAAGATTTTCAGATTTTGGAATCCTATGAAATCTTAAGTCTCGAAATAAGATTTGGAGTGAGATTTCATTTAAGATTTTTTGTTTAGAAATCACACTCAATCTTAAAAAGTCTTAACAAATCCTAATGTAAAATAAATTAAATACATCAGGATTTTGTAAGATTTTTTAAAATCTCAATTGAAAACCCCAAAATTTATAAAAGTCTTAAAAATTTTAACAATTTTAAATTGAATACACCAAAATTTTTAAAATATTAAAAAATCTTAATTAATAGACTTCTTCTTCGTTAGTGTCCAAAAAGGCAAAAACTCATCATTTTTTCAGGAATTTTTAGTTCATTGACTATCAAAACAAACATGACTATGAATCTGGACCCCACGGTGTGTCCAAATACACAAAATGCCTCAATTACCTCGGGAAAAAGCTGACCGCACTAAATTCTCAACTAATCTTGCCAGCATTAATGGTAAGGTTCACTCGATGCCATGGATGGATGATCTGCAAAAGACGTTCCTTAAAAAAAGTGAAAAGAATAAAAAGTGGTCGATTGTCCTGTTTCCTTTGACTTTTTATTCAACACACACGTGGCAGCTCTGTACAATTATTTTTTTCTTTTCCTCTTAAATAAATTTGAATTGTTGCTGGGGCAAATTTGTTCGTAACAGGTAACATCAAGAAGATTTCAATACTTTCCCCATTGAAATTTCTTTTTCAGAATTGCAATTTTCGAATAATAATAACAACAATAATAATAATAATCCAAATTGATTTTGGCGCAGAATTTTTTTTTCTGTGTATACGCCAGAATCAACATTGGAAATACTGTGGGTTGCTAAAACAGTCAGGTTCATTGAGCTTGGACGTGTTCTTTTGTTGGTCTCGAAAACTTTAATTCGTGATCGTGATCGATTTTCGAACCTTTTTTTTGAAGTATTGGAGAATTTAACTATTCGACGGCCATCTTTTTTCCTATGGTCATTTTGGCTTTGGGACGCGATTGATCGGTTTATTCCTCGAGCACTATCTGGGGAAAGAGTTAAAAAAGGGAAAAGGTAATGTTGCTACAGTTTTTTGTGCGTTTGTTCAAAGTCTATGTTGCACATTAGTCCTCTAAAAATTGGACTATTATTATAGTGGCGCTTTGTCTTCTTGCTGTCGGTCTAGTTCAAGAAATTGTAGTTCATAAATATATTTATGTTTTTTTGTTTGTTTGTTTGTGGTTTATTTATGAAATGATATGTATTTTGGTTGTATATTTGCTGTTGTAACAATCTTGTTCGACCCGTCATACATATTGTTAGTGTCTCTACTTTTTCATTGTGTTGGTTTATGTTTGCCTCAGTTCATCAATTGACAAGTATTGTCACATGATTTGGCCAGTTTTCTGTATTGGTCTCAGTTTAAGGTTTTAAATGTTACAATCATGTAAGAATTTGACTATCAGTTGGAGAGTTTGAACGTGTGTATCTTCATCATTTTACTTTCCATAGTTTGGGTCATTACTCATTACAAGTGAGGATGACATCATTGCTTATATAAACAACCACTGCTCCAAAAGTAATACAGAATTTTCTTCCCTTTTTCCACCGGTGACAAAAGTTCTTTACCCCCAAGTTTCTTTACTCTTATATATACACACACACATATAGGCAAGATTAAACCGAAAAACGAACCAAAGTTGCAAGTTTTTCGAAGCGACTTTCTTGTTTACATTCCACTATTCACTTAATTTCATTTCACGTATTGATTTCGTATTCGTGTTTGATTATTTTCCTCGTTTGTAGTTTTTCATACTTGAGAGGCAATGGGAGCAAATGATATGTACGACCCGAGTTTGTCACTCTCACATCACCGTATTTCATCCCCTTACAAAGTGGGCATTCCCCCAAAGCAGAAATTATGGAAGGAATTCTCTTCGACTCTCAAAGAAACATTCTTTGCTGATGACCCTTTACGCTCGTTCAAAGACCAGCCAAAGTCACGAAAGCTCGTTTTAGGAATACGGGCTGTTTTCCCGATTCTTGACTGGGCCAGAGGATATAGCTTGGCTAAACTTAAAGGCGATATAATTGCTGGGCTCACCATTGCTAGCCTCTGCATTCCTCAGGTATATAATAATAATAGTGATCGAAAGTTCGAAAAAAATAAAAATATGGNGATCAGATTCGAGCTTTGTGCCGCCTTTGATTTATGCATTCATGGGTAGCTCGAGAGATATTGCAATCGGGCCCGTGGCAGTAGTTTCACTTCTTCTAGGGACTATGTTGCAAAACGAGATTGACCCGGTCAACAATGCGCATGATTACCGTAGGTTGGCTTTCACGGCAACTCTCTTTGCCGGCATAACACAAGCCACTCTCGGCATTCTCCGGTAATTTGGTTTTTTTATTTTTTATTTTTTGTTCTGTTTGTTCTGTTTTGTCTGTAAAATGCTTATTTATGTCTTTCTGGGCATGTTGAAGATTGGGCTTCTTAATCGATTTCTTATCACATGCCGCAATAGTCGGGTTCATGGGTGGGGCCGCCATAACGATTGCTCTCCAACAGCTCAAGGGCTTTTTAGGCATAAAAAAATTTACCAAGAACTCGGATATTGTTTCGGTTATGCAGTCCGTTTTCCGCTCGGCCCATCATGGGGTGAGTGAGTATTTGAGTGATAAAAACCGAGTTGAATCAAAGAACGATAACCGATAAATTTATCCAATGCTTATGTGGAGTTTGTGTGTGTGCAGTGGAACTTGGAGACTATTCTCATTGGAGCGTTTTTTCTCGTGTTTCTTCTTGTGGCGAAGCATGTTGTAAGATCTCGAATGTATCCTTTTCGATAATTTCATCCAAAAAAAGGGGCTCGTTTAGTAATTTTGATGAGATGAGGTGTTTGCAGGGGAAGAAAAACAAGAAACTCTTTTGGGTGTCTGCAATCGCTCCACTAATCTCTGTCGTGCTCTCGACTTTCTTCGTCTACATTACCCGAGCAGACAAGAAAGGAGTGCAAATCGTGAGGCATATCGAAAAAGGAATTAATAGCCCGTCACTAGATCAAATATATTTCAGTGGGGAATATTTGCTCAAAGGTGCGCGAATCGGCATTGTGGCTGGCATGGTTGCGTTGACGGTAAGTTTTTTCGATAATCCGAGACATGATCAATTTTTTTATTTTATTTTTTAATTTATCTCTGTTAACGATCATAATAGGAAGCTGTTGCAATCGGACGAACATTTGCTGGCATGAAAGATTATCAAATAGATGGAAATAAAGAAATGGTTGCTCTTGGGGTGATGAACATTACAGGCTCAATGACATCTTGCTATGTGGCCACAGGTTAGAACTCATTAGAAGAAGCTAANAACATATGGTAATAATAATAATAATAATAATAATAATAATAATAATAATAATAAAAGAATGAGCTTTTTGCAGGTTCATTCTCTCGATCTGCGGTGAATTTCATGGCCGGTTGCCAAACTGCTGTCTCGAATATCGTGATGTCTATTGTCGTGCTTTTAACTTTATTATTCATTACTCCGCTTTTCGAGTACACTCCAAATGCAATCCTCTCGTCTATCATAATCTCCGCCGTGATTGGTTTAATCGATTATGAAGCTGCGATTTTGATTTGGAAGATCGATAAATTCGATTTTGTTGCGTGCATGGGAGCTTTCTTTGGGGTCGTTTTTGTGTCCGTCGAGATTGGCCTCTTGATTGCGGTAATAAACTACAACTATTTAAAAAGAAAAAAAGAAAAAAACAATTTTGGCGAAAATGGTCCTTGAGTATTCAAAGTTTTGTTCTATCTTGTTTTTGCTTTTGGTAATAGGTATCGATATCTTTCGCCAAGTTGCTCTTACAAGTGACGAGACCAAGAACGGCTCTTCTAGGAAAGATTCCTCGGACGAATGTTTATAGGAATATTCTGCAGTATCCGGAAGCTACTAAAGTCCCGGGTGTTGTAATAGTAAGAGTTGATTCGGCAATTTACTTCTCAAACTCGAACTACATAAAAGAGAGGTAATTTTTTTTTTTTTTTTACAGTTCTTTAACTTTTAGCTTAGTTCTTGAACTTAGTTGAGTATAGTATCTATCTACACTTTTGCAGGTTATTGAGATGGCTGACTGATGAGGATGAGCAACTGAAAGCTGCTGGACTACCCGAAATTCAATATCTGATTGTAGAAATGTCTCGTAAGTAGATAGTTAGTTAGTAGTTTTTAGTTTTTACCTGTTTTCGTACGGTGATTCGAGTAAAATATCTGATGAAAGCTTTTATTTTCTTTATTGAACTTTTTCGTGCAGCTGTGACCGACATTGACACGAGTGGTATTCATGCTCTGGAAGAACTTTACAAGAGCCTTCAGAAGAAATCTGTTCAGGTGAAGTAGACAAGCTGTATCTGTGAAGTAACACTTTTTTTTTTTTATTTTTTTTTATTTTTTTTTTATTTTTTTGGGTCGTTCGAACAGCTTGTACTAGCGAACCCCGGGCCAGTGGTGATCGACAAGCTTTACACATCCGAGCTAACGAATTTGATAGGCGAAGATAAAATTTTTCTGACTGTGGCCGATGCAATTCAGAGCTGTTCGCCGAAATTTGCAGAGGATGTTTGAGAGAAAATATTGTTGAGTAATACTACTAACTATATTGGAAGGGCCTTTTTGAAGGTGTGTTAAGTGCATAATTGGCATGGAAAGGTCATTTTTAATGTTGTAATGATTCAAAATTTATAATGTAGCACACATTAGAATGACCCTTTTTGAATGAAATAAAGCAAGCAAAGGGGTCCCTGAGGTACAGGTTTTCAAATTTGCCAAAAGAGGAGTATCTTAATTAAAGACACTATGCAATTTTTTTTTTTCTTAAGATTTAACTATGAATGTTATGGTCTGAATTTGTATGTTGTGATTNATTTTTTTTTTTTTTTATATAAATCTAACACAAAAGATATCTTTATTTGGGATTAGCCTCCATATATGAACATGGAAGTCTATGATACAACTCAATGTTTTGAAGATGTTTTGCCTACATATATTGTGTTATGGTTAAAATAATTTTAAATACACAAAACTCTATACATTATGCGATGATGAAAATAAATTTGAATACATCCATTGATCAAGGTTGATTTTCTAAATTACTAATGTTTCAATTACACTTGGTTGTATTATCTAGTGGTCAAAACATTCGGATAGCCTAAGTGGCAGCTGAGCACCAAGAAATTCATCTAGGTGGCCTTTTCAACTCTCAATTTAAAAAAAAAAAAAAATCTCCACTTACACGTACATTTAAGGGAGCCGAATCGAGTTGAACTTGTGTTGAACTCAATTAACGAACTGAGCTCGAACTATATTGTAGACAATTTTATAAAATATATCTTTTCGAGTCTTATAACGAACTGAAGCATAATTTTTAACGAGTTGAGTCCAGCTCATAAGTGAGTGAAGTCCCTGCGGTTAGCTTTTTTGCTTTACCCCATTTTGCAGTAAGTTTAGAAACTAGACTGTACCCTCATAATCCTTGGAAATGCAAACAACAGCAGCATCAATGGCGGCTCCGCCAGCTTTCCGCCGCCTGCTCTCTCACTTGCAGCGCCGCGCTCTCCCAACCCTCCGACATTCAATCTTCTCCAAATTCTCAAATCCACTTCACAGAAAACTAACCCACCTCTTTTCGACCTTCCACGACCCTATTAACAGTTCTCGGCTTCTTGTCACGTTTAAAGCTGCTAAAGGCAAGTCTATACCGCTCTTCAATTCTGGTGCTTATACGACTCGTGGGCTTCACTTTATTGTGTGTATATTTAGTTGTCGGGAACAAAGATTGAAGCTTTATGTAGCTTATGGCATTTTTATCGTGAAGAAAAACTTGATGAACTGCGAGGTTATGTTTGTGGCTAATAACGTTTAATTTTGTAGCTCAAACATCTTTCTTTAGATAAAAGTTTAGTGGTTATGTGCCTGACCTTAGATTTCTGGACAAATGAATCAAATCAATCAGTGAATTTTCTGTAACTATGCTAGTGGGTTCTGAAAATATTTAAATTTGTATGATTGTATCAGTAGAAAACACCTTGGTACTCAAGAAAGACGAGAGGTTGGGAAATGGAGAAGTGAACTCTGCAGAGCAAGTTATTAGTTCGAGTACAATTGCAGCTATAGTGACTTCATTGGGTGGGCCGCCAGGTGCTGTGGGGATTGTCCGGTTATCTGGCTCTTCAGCAGTTTCTATTGCTGGGCAGATTTTTCGACCCATGTCAAGAAAGAGGAAAAAAGCCTCTAGTTGGTGGCCTAATAGCCATGTTGTTGAGTATGGTGTGGTTTTGGATTCAAATGGCAGTGTTGTTGATGAGGTACTGCTAGTTGGCCCCAGTATCCTTATTTTATTTTATTTTATTTTTTTTCGTTGAGAGATCGAATATTTTTCATCTCAATAGAAAAGGAATGGACTTGGGTGATTTATGTCTTGTTTGATGCCTTGGGTTATGCTGAGATAATGCTGGATAGGACAATCAATGTTTATAATAGTACCATTTTAATGTGATATGTTATAATTCACCTAGCTTGAAAATTGTGTTTTTTTTTTTTTTTTGCTNTTTTTTTGCTCATATAATATTTCTTTCATTTGTTCTTTTGAAAAATCAAGCTCTTAATTTCAACTTCAAATTTGTGAAACTACTTCATCGTACTTGAAGCAACATAAGTTCAGCGCTGGCTCGAGTAATAAGAAATTGTTATCGCAAGTAATTTCAAGTGTATTTGGGAAGCAATGCTCTTATGTATCCTCTAATCACATTAACTGTCTTAATTCTCCACTAGGTTTTGGTGGTTCCAATGCTGGGGCCAAAATCTTATACTCGTGAAGATGTGGTTGAACTTCAGTGTCATGGCAGTGAAGTGTGCTTGCGTCGTGTCCTAAGGGCTTGCCTAGATGCTGGGGCGAGGCTTGCCGAACCAGGTCATTTCTTGAAGAATCTCAATAACAACCACTATCTGTAAATAATCTGAAAATAAATTCCTTCATATATATATATATATTTTTGCCTACCTTCCATCCATGTATTTGATCGTAGTAGATCAAGTTTTCAAAATAATTTTTTTTTTTTGTAAAACTATAGATAAAATTTCCAATAAAGAACCCCTAGACATTTCACTAAATAAAAGGTTTTGAGTTTCTTTGTTTCACTTCTTAGCACCTTCACATGGATGGAATGAATAACAGAATATTAATTGTGGACGCTTAATAGTGTCGTATTTTGAACTTCACAGGTGAATTCACTCTCCGTGCCTTTTTAAATGGCCGTTTAGATCTCTCTCAAGCTGAAAATGTGGAAAAACTTATATCAGCTAAGTCAATGGCCGCTGCAGATGCTGCATTGGCAGGGATTCAGGTGACTTTGACCTAATTTTACATTCTTATCGGATTAATTGAGAGAAAAACTATAAGGTGTCTGCAATCGAGTACTGGACCTATTGGTTGTCGTTTTACAGGGAGGCTTTTCTTCTTTGGTGAAATCATTAAGAGCTCAGTGCATTGAGTTGCTCACAGAGATTGAAGCTCGTCTAGATTTTGATGACGAGATGCCTGCCCTCGACCTCAATCTTGTCACTGAAAAGATACAGAAGATGTTGCTAGAAGTAGATTATGCTTTGGAAACTGCCAACTATGACAAGCTTCTGCAATCTGGTGTACAGGTACTTTATCAAGTTCTTATTTCAAAAGAGTTTTACGCTCATGTGAACATAAGAGTTGCTGCCAGGCAAATTTGCTCTTCTTTTATTTTCTATCCACTAACATTTAGTAATTAAGATTGTTGGGGTTTTCCAAAATCTCTCTCTCTCTCTCTCTCTCTGTGTGTGTGTGGCTGTATGCATTTCCTTACTGTCAATGAGCCTCAACCTTGCTAATCTTTGTCCAGATAGCAATCGTTGGCCGACCAAATGTTGGGAAATCGAGCCTTCTTAATGCATGGAGCAAAGTATGTTTTAGAAGCTTATCTGTGACATTATTTTTTTTGTCTTTTTTAACTGTTGTTGTTTTGAATCGTCCTATATTTGTTATTTGTGTGCAGTTATTGCTTTTATGTTATTTGCGTTCAATTATTGCCATTGGGCCATCTCTTGTTTTCATTTGTCGAATTGAATTAATAGGGTAAAGTTGGGAAATTACATTTTGTTTTCTCATTGATGTGAAATGATGAAAAGATTTGTTTATAAATTATTTCGAACTCATACTCAATTCATACTCAAAATCTAACTCAACTTTAATCCAATCCCACTATCCTCAATATTATCAATATAATTAAATAATACTAACCAATCATTCTTACATATCACATCAATTTTAATTCACTATTCATTCCCTCAATGTAATTTTAACTAATCATCACTTCACATCATATATCTCATACTTTTACATCAAATCACTATAATTATTTTATTTTAAATATTATTTTAATATAAACTCAAAATACCACTAACACCTAACCATATCTATTTTTTTAACATTAATCATGGTTAACAAAGAAAACAAGTTTTGAGCGCATATATTTGTATACAAGCACGCCCTAAGCCTCATAGTGGATGTTTCGGTTGAGCCTGTATAAACATCCTGTGAGTTCCTAGATCTTGTAACATATTTTTCGGAGGATGTGAGGTTTTATTTCTAAGCTAAGTAGTTTAATATCTGATTAATAGAAAAACCTGAGAGCTCTTTAAAATGATTGTAATGAGTGAATTTATACTAAACTTTTATTAATAATGGTTTGTCAAAGTATGATCCTTCTTTTACATAGATTCCTACCATCTAATTGGGATCTTACGAATCTTCTTATCAGCACTCAGAAAACTTCTAAGTCATACTATGTTTTTCTTAGAGGCTTATGAGCTGAAACTAAAACATTTTTAACTTCATTGCACTAGTTTTTGTAGAGCTCGTCTTCCACGCATCTTTTTCAGTGACTATCAGAAAGGAATCAAAATCTTTTTATTACTGGAATTTGGCTTAAT